AAACAAGAGCTGGAGGAAAGGTGGATTCTTACAGCAAACTTGTGGATGTAAACTGACATGAACTTTGGTCCCAATCCTAGAACTCTAGCCTCACAAACTAGCGTCTGCAAATAAACAAAGAGTTCAGGCTTAAGCACAAAGTAAGTATAAACAAGGGGGGGAAAGACAAACACAACCATGCACGACACACATGCACACATGTTGATCCACATGCCCAAGAGAATGCAGTGAACATAAGGAAACAGAAAAAGGGAAGAAATAATATTTAAATGATATGTGGCAAACAATGTAAGTCTTGATCTCCTTGTGACTTGTGAGAGAGAAAAATAATAGAACAAGCAATGTAATCTTGAAATACAAGGCAGACACTCACCTTGTCGACGTGCAGAATCGGAGACGATTTATTGCTCATATGATGGATTACATTGATGGGTAAAACCACACAATATAATTAATAGCCTTAGCGAAATTTCAAATTCAAATTCTTAGGGTAGATGCACTAAGGTTATAAACTTTGAAGAAAAATATGCTACTAAAGAGAGAAAAAAACTACCAGATTATAGGGATATTCGACCGTTTGAAGTTAAACAACTTCATATTAGCTTCACAACCAACCCTGACACCCAAAGTAATAGTCGCAAGTAGTAACTCCCGATGTGGCCAAATATAGGCCACATGATAGTTTCAACCGGTGCATGTCATACCACAAACATGGGTCATACTATAAAGACAGAGTATGCCACTGTTGAAACAAAAGGAAGAGAAGTACATGCACATATAAGCATATGCTTATATGTGCATGTACTTCTCTTCCTTTTGTTTCAACAGTGGCATACTAAGTTCTAGAAATTGGGGACGAAGAGACTTGCAAGAAAGGGAATCTTACAGTACACCCAGCACCTTAAGTGTATGTTGACGCCAGAAAGTTGGCCAAGCAGATCCTCATGGAAGGACTCAATTAACCCTAACTTCTGTTTAGTCCAGGATGCTCACTTGGGTATGACTCAACTGATGGTGTCAGTTTGCAGGTCACAGGTTCAAGACCAGGCTGTAGCCTTTTGGTGAAATATGTTCATTGAATGATAAGAAACTAATCTTCACAGTTTCATTAAAGACATATTCTCATTTTGTTTTAGATGAATTATTGGATTTTCTGTACTCCGTACATGCTTAAAAATGAATCCCAAGAAAAAGTACAAATTATCCATGGATGCTCCCTTACTTGGGAGAGAGGATACTTGTTTGCTTTTGAACTACAATAATTTTCTACTGCACATTGATTAGATAGTTCCTTGACAGTAGCACAAACAACGTGGAGAAAGAGACCAATCTTTAAAAAAAATTATTGTTTTACATGTGCGTGACATGTGTATATCTATATCAGTATACGTATCTTCAAGCCCTCCAACAGCTAGACTTAAAGTACTACCCTCCAAATTCAGTAAATGCATGCATTACCTTCAAAAATTATCAACCATGCATTTATGCAATGTTAATGTCATTAGTATCACCACATCCAATTAGTAGCCTTGGAATAAATCTAGTTTCTATAAACTAAATATTCTAAGTATTTTTTAACTTTAGAAGTCATGTATTAACAGAATAGAAGCATGGATATTCCCACTACAATCTTCATCAGATTCAACTCACTGTCAATATTTTATATCAAGCTTATTGAAAAGTTCATAAATATGCATCAAACTGTAACTCCATTGCTGCTATCACCATATTGTTAGAAAGAATTCAACTAGTAGCCCTGCATATATAGTTAACAATTAGAGTTAACCACATCTAACCCAAAGATATGTATGTATGCTTGGCATATATGTAACATTTAAAATTGTCAAAGGATACACATCTATTTAATACTGAGTGCTTAACATAGATACTTGACACTTTATATACTGGTAGGACACTAATGTCCAAAAAATTGTTTATAATACCAAGATACCATATTTTAATGATATGTGAAACAGTTTCAATGCTCATATATGTATGACGCTATATACTCTTAGAATACATGTTTGATACCTTTTTGACGATTATTATAACTTGCATTAAACTAATGAA